TATATATATATATATATATATATATATATATATATATATATATGTATGTATGAATTTGTCACACTGTAGGATTAAAAATGGATTAGTAAAGGCAGAATTATGAAAATAAATACTGATAAATCGCAGGATTGTCTCTTATATATGCTTACATTACTTAACTGCTTAAAATCATAATATTTAATACAAAAAAGTTAATGGACAAGTGTTATGTCAGTCATCACCACCGAGCGCAAATGTCTTGTCCTTATTAAACTTAGCTCTCAAGCTCTGAAAATAAGAAGAGAAATTCTCAGAATCGGGCTATTATTAGCATTTTTGCACTTTCTGCACCCAGAAAAGATGCTGGACACCCAGGATCTATTTCCAACGATAGGATTAGGCCTGATCTGTCAGTTTGCCAGACATATAAAGGGATCTGTCTCCTTTTTTTCTCTGATGTCTTGGAAGTGTCAGGCATACAGAATGCAAAAAAAGAAAAAGCCTTGCATCATATGTACCTGGCTTTGTACATCCAGGATTAAGTAAAAGTGATTATGAGGATATCCTCTCTTGAAGGGAGAGAGAGCGCCCGGCTTGGCACTTCAGAGCGCTCGCACGTTTACGTTCATAGTGAGGAGCTGACAGACACCGCAATGCTTACTTTACCAAGCTCACTATTCATTTAATTGGAGGTTGATGGATAAAATATCACACACGCAATGTTTTAAATAGCCAACTGTGTATGTAGGGTCTGATACGCCTGTAAACAAAAACAAACAAGTATGTTATGTATCTATTAATGGACTTTGAGCAGACAAGTGCATAGAGAAGGATTTGAGATATTAGAAAGCTTATTCTGAGATCTCTTCGCCTCAGGCTTGCAGTAAGGTCTTAAATTGTTGACACATATCTGTGCTGATACATGCATGACAACATCAGCAGTCCATCAGCATCATCCAGTTTTCTGATATTTACCCGCTCATTCCCAGACAAACAAACAAAAACGATCTCCATTTGTGTGTCAAGGATCGTCTGCTGCACATCAGCCTAAAAGCAAGATCTCATGAGCTGAGATTAGGCTTAGGTAGCTTGATATCAAGATCTGGTTTACTTAACTTGTATTAGTAATGTTGCAAATAAAGCATTGGAAGATTTAACAGTATTTGTTTGTACATAGATGTTTACTAAACGAATAAATAAATGCAGTGGTGAACTGAGTTTAAATCATTTTATTGTGTGAAAATTACACTGTGATATGAGACATGAAAGTCACATAAATCAGAATCCAGTACTCCATTGAGCAGTGTAATTATAATTAGATTCTATTATATATAAGCTACCGTTCAAAAGTGTGGGGTGGTAAGATAATGTTTTTGAAAAAAGTCTCTTCTGCTCAGCAAGGCTGCAAGGCACAAAATAGTACAGTAAAAACAGTAATATTGTAAAATAATTTGACAAATTAAAATAACCGTTTTCTTTTTTTATTATATATATTTGTAATTTATTTGTAATTTATTCCTGTGAAGTAAAGCTGTATTTTCAGCATCATTACGCCAGTCTTCTGTGTCACATGATCCTTCAGAAATCATTCTATGTTGATTTGCCACCCAAAAAAAAAAAAAATGTTTATATATATAATCAATGTTGAAAATAGTTGTACTACTTAATATTTTTGCGAAAGCTGTTTCCTTTTTTGTTTTGGGATTCTTTACTGAATAGAATTCTGAATGGTAAAAACAGTAATATTGTAAAATAATTTGACAAATTAAAATAACTTGTTTTTTTTTATTATATATATTTGTAATTTATTTGTAATTTATTCCTGTGATGTAAAGCTGTATTTTCAGCATCATTACTCCAGTCTTCTGTGTCACATGATCCTTCAGAAATCATTCTATGTTGATTTGCCACCCAAAAAAAAAAAAAATGTTTATATATATAATCAATGTTGAAAATAGTTGTACTACTTAATATTTTTGCGAAAGCTGTTTCCTTTTTTGTTTTGGGATTCTTTACTGAATAGAATTCTGAATGTATTTATAGAATAAGTTTTAATCAAAAAGCTTAATTTATTTGAAAAAGAAATCTTTTGTAACATTATAAATATCATTTTTGTCACTTTTGATCAATTTAATGCATCCTAATGAAAGTATTAATTTTTTTTTTTAAATCTTACTGACCTTAAACTTTTGAACTTATGTGCCATTTTTGTTCTCTTTTTTTGTTTTTTCTTAAGAGCAGGGGAATTTAGGTCATTGCAAACCTGGAGTTGTACCTCAACTATAACTTACATCAGTGCAACTGTTGGCTCCAAAAGAGTCCTGAAAAACTCCACAGAGGTTATTTAAAAGACAGCAAATGTAAATATTCTGTACATGTATATGTGCTGATTGAACAAATAGTACATAGAATGAGAACTGGACTTTGATTTGCACTATAATTTAGTTTTCTGTTAACACACACACACACACACACACACACACAAAAAATCTTTCATTTTTAATCATTTTGTCACTTTCAAAAGAATGAAAACCAGCCTCAAACAGCAACAGAGTGAATGAATGTAAGTTGGCAAATGTGAGCCAATTAGATACTATTACAAACCTGAATACTGAATAAATGCAGTTTTACAAATGCTAGAGATGTGGCTTTCAAATGACAGATTGCTATCAAATAGCACAGATTCCTAACTGATGGCGAATTTATTTGAAAAAGAAATCTTTTGTAACATTATAAATATCATTTTTGTCACTTTTGATCAATTTAATGCATCCTAATGAAAGTATTAATTTTAAAAAAAAATCTTACTGACCTTAAACTTTTGAACTTATGTGCCATTTTTGTTCTCTTTTTTTGTTTTTTCTTAAGAGCAGGGGAATTTAGGTCATTGCAAACCTGGAGTTGTACCTCAACTATAACTTACATCAGTGCAACTGTTGGCTCCAAAAGAGTCCTGAAAAACTCCACAGAGGTTATTTAAAAGACAGCAAATGTAAATATTCTGTACATGTATATGTGCTGATTGAACAAATAGTACATAGAATGAGAACTGGACTTTGATTTGCACTATAATTTAGTTTTCTGTTATCAACACACACACACACACACACACACACAAATCTTTCATTTTTAATCATTTTGTCACTTTCAAAAGAATGAAAACCAGCCTCAAACAGCAACAGAGTGAATGAATGTAAGTTGGCAAATGTGAGCCAATTAGATACTATTACAAACCTGAATACTGAATAAATGCAGTTTTACAAATGCTAGAGATGTGGCTTTCAAATGACAGATTGCTATCAAATAGCACAGATTCCTAACTGATGGCGAAGACTTGACAGAGCAGTCTTCAAGTGCTAGAGATTATTCATTGCGTTGGACCATTAGTTTTGTGAATTTGTATGTTTTGTCAGGCCGTGAATAAATATAGAGCTGTAATATAATATAATTCCACTAATGCCAACATTATTTCCGAGCCTATCCAAAAGAATGTTGTGGTTGATAGTATCAAAACTTTTCTTGTATTTTTGGAAGAAAAGGGAGATTCGAGATCAGTCTATCTTGTACAAATGTAGACAACCCTTCCTCTCCTGTAGCAAAGAATGAATGGAATTGTTCCTCGGGGGTGTAAAATGCACTGTCTGATGCAATCTGTAGCAGACGGTTGCATGGTTATAATTTTCTTTCAGATAGTTACAATCTTGCAAGTATTTGATAAAGTCATTGCTGCTGTGCTGTTGGGAAATGTCTGAACCTGTTGAAGCTCTATTTCATGTTAATTTAGCCACTGTATCAAATAAATACCTAGGCGTTGTGTTTGTTTTCTTCTAAAAAATTATAAAAGTAAGCAGATCCAGCCGTTTTCAAGGCCTTTCTGTAGGAAGAAACACTATCCTTCCATGAAATTCCTCTAGTTTTGTTTTCTTCCAGCTGTGCTCCTTTTTTCCGGGCTTCTCTTTTTAGGGTGCGAGTGTGCTCATTATATCATGGCATTGGACTGTTCTCCTTAATCTTCTTGAAGCGTTAAGGAGCAACCGTGTCTAGAGTGCTAGAAAAGAGAGAGTTGATAGTTTTTGTTGCCACATCGAGTTCTTCTAAGCTATCTTTAACCTCCATGGAACCTTTGCATTGCACAAAAGGTTATTTATAGTATAAAAAAGTTCTTTATATTATTTAAATGTTTTTAACACTAAGAAAAAAATGGTTCTTTTAAGAACTGCTCACTGAAAGGTTCTTTATGGAACCAAAAATGGTTCTTCTGTAGTATTGTTGTGAAAACC